GTGAGGAGACGAAGAAGCAGCTGCTGCTGCGGCAGCAGGAGCTGCTGCAGCAGCAGCAGCAGCAGCTAGAAAAAGAGAGAGATAAACCCCTAGAAGAAATGAAACTACTCAAGACAAAGGTAGAAATGCTGCAGGCAGCAAGAAGAGAGCTTCCTGCTGCTTCAGCTCGCGTGCAGGAGCTGGCGGAGAAAGCGGATGCTGCTGCTGCTGCTGCTGCTGCTGCTGCTGGTGATGCTGATGCTGATGTTGGGATCGATGCTGATGAGCTCGATGCAATAATGAAGACGTTGCTGCCGATGGAGCAGCAGCTGCTGCAGGCGCGGCTGGAGCTGCAGCGGGTGCAGCAGGCGTTTGCTGCTGCAGCAGCAGAAGCAGCAGCAGTTCGTGTTGAGGGGGGAAAGGTTGGCTTAGCTCGTTCTGTGCTGCAGTATATGCGGAGCCGTGCATGGATAAAGGATGATTACACTTCTGCTGCTTCTGCTGCTTCTTCTTCAGCAGCAGCAGCAGCAGCAGCAGCAGGGGATGAGGATAGTATAGTTCACCCACTGGTGATACAGCGGAGAAAGCAGGCGGTGCTGCGTGCGGATGCTTTGCTGCACAACCTGCTGCAGAAGAAGTTGAGACTGAAGGAGACGTTGGTGCGGCTGACGAGAGAGAGAGCAGCAGCAGCAGCAGATGAAGCTCTTGCTGAGCGTGAGGTGTCTAGACACCTGAATACTATAAAAGAGCGCATGCATACACCGGAGATATATGGTATTGCTGAAGTATGGAGCAGCAGAGAAGAAGAAGAAAAGTATAAAAATACAGTTGCTGTTATACTTGATTTAACTTGTAACTTCGGCAGCAAGCTGTTCTCTCGTTTCCCCAAAGAAGCTCACCCACAAAGACACTATAATAAATTTATAACTCCTTACTCTGATGATTTGCTTATATCTCTAGAGAATATATTTAAATATAATACAAGACAAAGACTCGCAATAAGTAAAGCCTCTGATGATATAGCTGATAGACAAGTAATAGAACTACTACAAAACGAAAATACAT